GCTCAGTTTCCCAGCAAGCCATCCGCCTCAGCACGGGTTGGCTCGTGCCCCTGGCACTGCCTTTCCATTCCTGCGGCCTTGCCTGCCTTCTGCCACCGCTCCTGCCAGCTTTTGTTTGTGTTGCTTCCTCGACGGCTTCTCTGCTTTCTAGTGCTCAATTTCTGTTCTTGTCCGATGTTCCCCTCTGCGTCCTTAGGGGTGCTCTGTTCTGTTTCCAGGTTCTCTTGTAAGACACGCAAATCACTACTTCTCAGTCTTTCTTTTCTCTAATGCATTTACAGGCGTAAGCTTCCCCCTAAGTGCCGCTCATGTGAGTCCCAAGTTTTGATATGCAGGATTTTCACTGCCCTTTTCTTCTCAAACTATTTTCTGATTTTCACTGTGGTGTCTTCTTTGGCCAGTGTGTTGCTGATTTCCACACAAACGTGGGGTGTGTTTCCTGTGTTCATTCCCAAATCGATGTCCTGTTGCTCCATATTCTTAGAGCTTCAATCAACCTACTTGTGATTGTCACTCATGCTGGCTCCCTCCCGTGTGTTTTGTAATTTTTGTTGTGAGCTCATTTTAGCAGAACTTCTTCCCGCAGGTGACCAAGGGCCCAAGTGTCCCTGAGAAGTGGTTAAAGAGTAAGCATTTCTGCCAGCTAACTGGAAGGGCTCAGCGTGGCTTTTCTGAGTCGTGGTTGTCCTTCCTGTGGCATGGCTTGGAGCTGGGGGGAGGGGCCTCTCCTGGGCAAGGTCTCTCCTCCAGCCCCTGCCCGGGGCCCACGTCCAGCTGCACAACCTCTGCCCTGCTGGTGACACTGCAGCTGTTACCTCTTCATCAGGTGAGACTGCACAGGGGAGACCCACGACGTGTCGTTCACCTGGAGCCAGTCTCCCAAATGAGTGAAGCAGCTTGTCAGTAACGCGAGGACGACTTTGACTGGAGCACGTTCCCAAATCACACAGCTTTTTCCCATGTTGCTTCCCACACCATTCAGAACTGGTTTGCTGGGGGCCATGGATGGGGGCTGTCCACGAGTGAGTCAGGAAGGTCACCAAAACGACCAGAGAAGCGTCTTTCTGGACTTTTCTTTTCAGGAGCAAGCAGGTGGCAGTTGTCCAGGCTGCGTGGCGCTCTCCACACCTTCCTGGAGAGTGGGTACATGCTCCACACCTCGGGATGCTGGGCCCGCACGTGGGCGGTGGCCCCTGCTCAGAGCCTCCCCAGGCCTCTAAGACATGCAGGTGGCCTCTGCAGCCCAGCACAGGCTCTGGCAGGGCTCTGTCCTCAGGGCTCTGTCCAACAGGTTCCGACAGACACGGTGAAGGCATCTGGGGACGTGCCCCTTGCACCCCGTGGGGTGGCCTTGGGATGGGCGTTGGCCGCTGTGCTGTTCCCTGAGCGTGGAGCTGTGAAGGCGTCCACACCCCTAGACCTTGCAATTCCACCCCAGCAACGATCCGCAGGAAGTCACTGTGGCTCGAAGCAAGCATTCAGTTGCAGGGCATCCACACTGAGGGGGGCACAGCCAGAGTCACCGACGGCAGAGGCCGCACACTGTGGCGGGCACCAGCTTATGCCGAGACCTCAGTGGGTCTTTCATTCACACAACAGCTGTGGTGGCTGGAGACCATCACAGACACTTTGTTTTTCTTCTTTCAGCTCTTGTATGTTTCCTGAACCTTCTGCAGTTCAGGGCATGGGAAGTAAATAAAGGACACTTTTCAATTTGTGTTTCGTTTCTTTCCTTCTCGGTTTCCTCTTGCTTGTCGGGACCGAGACAGCTGGGCTGGGCCTGTGCCTGTGAGTGCCACAGGTACGTCCAGGCGCAGGGAAAGTGACTTGTGAACCTGCTGCTTTGGCTGCCACGGCCTCTCAAACGAGCACGGCCCTTTTTGTCTGGCCTGGAGAACAAGCCCCTGTCTTTATGGGATAATTAGTGCGGACAATGACCACCGCCCTTGGGGGATCGGGGTGCAGCGGACCAGAACGGAATCTCAGCGGCATAAAAAGTCATGGGAGGCGCGGATGGTGGCTGAATAGCGACAGTTACCTTCTGAATAGATTAAATTTTAAAAACCTCCATGCGGGTGGCGGGGCTTGCCGGGAAGCTTTGAGTGCTAGACGGAGTGACAATGAGGTTTTGTGTCTCCACAGCTCCAGGAGGAAGCCTGGCGGGGGTTTGCTGCCCTGGATGACCCACACTCTGGACTTCTGGACATGCTGGAGGGCAGCCAGGGCTGATGGGGACAGAGCCCCTCCCTGGAGGCCTGGGTGGCCGGCGAGCTGCAGTGCTGGCTGTGGGCACAGCCACACCCATCGCCATCCCAGGTGAGCCCACAGCTCTGCCCCGAGGTCATGACCCTTCCTGCCCCTGCCCCTCTCAGTATGGTGGGTTTCATGCCCGCCTAAGCAGGCCTCTGCAGGCCATGGAGCCAGCCCAGGGTGGGTGGGGGCACTTGACCACATGCTGGGACTGGACTCGTCCCTTCACTCGTGCCCCGCCCCCCAGGCTGCCCTGAGTGACCATCTACCCACCTCTGGGCACAGGCGCTCACTTACAAGCCAGGCCTGCCCCTGGCATCCAGCCCCTGTCCGAGGCAGTTGAAGCCCCTGGCCACAAGGCACTGCCTCCAGTTAAGCTGGGCTTCGGGTCCTCCAGTGCAGCCCAGAGCTGAATCAGCTGCAGGCCCGTGCACTCAGGGTCTATACCCAGAGCCACCCCAGTCTTGCAGAGCCGCTGGTCAGCATCTTCCAGCTGCAGGACACAGCCCGGGGCCCCCTGCTGGCTCATGTCCACCGCCTGCACCGCGAGGGCAAGTTCAAGGAAGTGAGTGTGGCTCTGTGTGGTCTGGGCCCTGCAGGGAGAGGGACTCAGGGGATGCTCCTTCTGCTTTGCAGAGCGTGGCATCAGTGCGGCGGGGCTCCCAGGGCACCTCCACATGGTGGCTGCAAGGGGCTTCAGGTCTAGGGTGAAGGGTTTCAGGGACCAGCTGTTCTGGTGCCCAGCTCAGCAGTGTGCTTGGTGTCAGGGTCCCAGGAGCCCCTGTGTGACCACACTGCACCCTGCCCCATGCCCAGGAATCCTTCCCCCAGGATTCCTCCCAGCGCCCGCTGGGTCCTCATGCTCTGATGGCCCTGGATCCAGCCATGCTCCCTCCATGCCCACTGAGTCTCAGCGTCATCTGCAACACGCAGCAGAACCACTCACCGGGAGGTTGTGCTCGGCTGGCAGGCACTCAACTGCTCTCCTCCATCCATCAATACTCCTGTCCATCGGTTGCACCTCCCGAGTGCCAGGCACTGCCAAGGTCTCGAGCAGTGAGCCCCCCAGATGGAAAAGCTTTGTGGAAGGGCAGAGTGGGGCAGGGATGTGGGGGAAGCTGGGGACAGTCCTGCTGCCCATGTGTGCCCCTCTAGGCAGGACCACTGTCCCCTCCTCAGCAAGAGATCTGGACGTAAGGGCACAGTGTTGGCACGTTGGGGGACACAGGATAAAGCTTAGGGCAGGTCATGGGTCGTGGTAGTCATCACGGTCACCCGGTGTGGGAAGTGCATTTGGTCAGCATCTGACCCCTCACTTTGAGTGAGGCTTTTGAGGCCACTTGAGGGAGAGGTGGTTTCCTCCCTTGTGGTGGGGAGGGCTGGGTTGGAATGGGGTCTGTGGAAACGTGGGATTTAGCAGCTGAAAGTCTCTGGATAAGAACCCGAGGGACTTCTGGACTCACAGTGGGTTTGCTGAGTCTTCGTGAGCAGTGCTGGCTCTTGCTGAAGCTGCAAGGTTCTGAGAGGAAGATCGGGCCCCAAAGTCACGGACTCGGGCGGCCCTGAGCCTGGCCAGGAGCACCCAGCTGTGACTTGAGTCTGCATTAGGCAGTAGGGAGTGGTGGGGCCTGTGGCGAGCAGGGAGGAGGCTGCTTCCTATGGGGTGGCTCTGAGCTGCTGTTGCTGTGAGCGCAAGGCAGCCCTGCAGCTCCAAGCACCCTGAGAGGTGAAGATCCCAGTGTGCACACGAGGCACAGTGGAGAAGTCCAGGGGTGCCCGGTGGGGGTGCACCTGTCACGGGCAATGAGGCCAGCATTCCTGGGCATCACCTCCAGCCCCCTGCCCCATCAGGGCCCAAGGATGAGCCAACTTCAAGGACCACGTTGCTGCCCCTGCCCACCCCACAGGGGGGCCCTCGCCTGGAGAGGCTGGGCCCCCTGGGTTGGAGCAGGCGCTGCCCGGCTCATGCCCGTGTGCCCTCTTCCTGGCGAGGCCCCATCCTCACAAGGAAATTCATTGGAGTGCAGGCCTCGGAGGCTGCCCAGCCTCGCCCCGACCTGGCCTGGCCCTGGGAGGTGCGCGCTGTGTGCAGGCAGCACCAGCCCCGCCAAGCGCATTGTTGCCTGTCACACCAGGCCAGTGTTCATCCCATGGCTGGTGAATGGCACTGAGAAACCAAGATGGCCATGCGCCGGAACAATGTGGGATCGAGGGCCCGCCGCTCCGCAGCCGAGGCCGTCCCAGGCTGAATGGGCGGCTGTGCCCACAAGGAGCACCGGGGCAGGGGCGGGCTGGCGTTCCGCCGTCTTCTGTTGCACTTGAGCCTTTCAAAGGGCGTCTGGGCCCGCTGAATGCGCCTCCCTCACGCTCCGAGGCAGGAATCCCAGCACAAAGGGGACTCTTGTCCCGCACAGGCCCCTTCTGCGAAGAAAAGCCATTGTTCCCGCGCCGGGCTGCCCGGCAGGCGGTGCATGCTCCACTGCCCACCGCCGCGCCCGGCCCAAAAGGGGCCGCATTCAGGCCTGTCCGCTCGGATTAGCAGCGACTCACGACTCAGTGTGCTGCGATATTTCATGTCGAGGGCAGCGGCTGGCCCTGGGCGGGATGAATGCCGCTTTTGTCCGCTGAGTTATTTTATTTACATTTTTTAAACAGCTTATCAAGGTAAAAAGATAGCTTTGCTTTAAAAAAAAAAAAAAAAAAAAAAAAAAGGCCCCCTTGGCTCCAGGCCCGTGCGGAGGTGGGAGGCAGGCCCGTCGCTTGGGGTCCTCTGCCGTCAGGTCTGGGCTGCAGCCAGCCTGGGCACCTGCCCAGTCCTCCTGCCCTTTGGAGTGGGGGGCTCAGGGGAGCCGTGGAACACTCTTCACGAGGGTCACTGCCCGGGCCCCTCCCCTGGATTTTCTTGCTTGTTTTACCGAAAGCTGCAGCTCCTGAGCCTGTCCGGCCGGAGGTTCCCGCAGCCCCACCCTGACCCAGCCAGCTGGAAGGCCCCGTGTCTCTCGCTCCTTAGTACATTTCTCTGGGGCTGCAGAGATGAGGAGGACCTGCTGGGTGCAGGATGGGCCCAGTTTGCCCCCATTTGTCCTCACTGCCCAGTTTCAGGTTCTCTCCTCCTGCGGGGTCCAACCCCTCCCCACCTTCTCCTGTGCCTGCTCCCTGGGCCTGGGCATGGGGCCAGTCGCAGGTGCCTGGGCCAGCAGGTGATCTTTCTGTGCCCCCTGGGTCTGCTGGGTCCCCTGTGTGGCCAGTGCAGGTCTCCGTGGGCAGCGGGCAGCCTGGCCTACAGTCTTCTCAGACAGAAATGACCAGAGACTGATTCTGAGCCAGGCCTGACAGCAGTGAAATAACCATTCAGACCCTCGGAGTCCCAAGAGGGAGGCCAGGCCAGGGTGCTTCCTGGAGGAGGTGGTTCTGCTGCCTGCCAGCATGCCCCCAGGAAGCCAGGGCGACAGTTGCTGGGCAGGATGAGCAGGCACCTCCCTAGTCCTGTGCTGCCTGCCCAGCCCCCAGGCCACAAACCCTGAGGGGCTACAGGTGCAAAATATGGACAAAGGGGGTTGCCGTTTAGCTCAGTTGGTTAAAGGACGGTGCTTCTAACACCAAGGTCAAGATTTCAGATCCCTGTACTGGCTAGCTACTATAAAAAAAAAAATGACAAAGGGGCGGCGGGCCCCAAGCATGCCGGCCACACCCCTGCAGGGTCCACGAAGGCCACCTGGCCGCAAGAGGGCACTCTGGGTACATGGAGGGCTCCTGCAAGGCCAGAGAGAAAGGTCTGAAAACCTGGTTGGTCTGTGTTCTGAATGACCACGGGGAAGAGAAGGGCAGTGCTGAGCACCGCCAACCCCATGACAGTGTTGCTGGCTGGCCAGAGTCTCAGCCCACCCAGCAAGTGAGGCGTGAGCCCCACACCTGGCGAGCACAGGCTGCACCCCAGGACAGCACCCAGGCTCCGCTCCCCAAGCCTGAGGGCTCATTCTGGGATTCCGAGGGTGGAGAATGAAGTCTGTCCTTCGGGGAGTCTGACCAGCCAGGACGTGCTCCAGATGCTGATGCTGCATAGAGGCCACGTGGAGGGAGGGAAGGAGGGCCCGACCCTGAGACCCCTGGCCCTCTTCCCGTAGCTGTCTGCCCATGCCCCTCTCCCGTCTCCCTATCACTGGCTGAGGGCCTGGCCCTGAGGACATGAGGGAAGCAGCCCCATCCTCAGCTCCCCCTGCCCCCAACACAGTCCAGGAAGGGGCATCAGCCGAGGTAAGGCAGGCAGGAGCACGAAGAGCC